TGGGTGATTTGTGTTCCTTTGGCCCCAGTCTGAACTGGCACCTGCTTTTCTGAAAGCGCTTTACGATTTGTGTTTAATGTTTTTTAACAGACATGTGCAAGCCATTTGAATTAGAGCAGTGTGAATCTATTAGGCGGCGACAGATGCAAGTTTTGTGTCGCTTATTAGAAGGGATTGGCTTCTGAGGTTTAGTGATGTGCAAAGGATTGGACTTTGGAGAGATTAAAATTATTTTCAGCGTTAAGCACAATATTTCTGAGCTAATGCACTCACTCTTGAATATAGATTCACAGACCGAAAAGATTATAAAACATTAAACCTATGTAAATTCAGCTGTAAATTTATGTTTGAACAAATTCAACAAGAGATTTGACTCGGGGGCTTACAGCAAATGGGTTCTGCTTTTAATGTGTACTGCGGGCTCAGTTGCAATGCTGCTCTCCCCTTGAAAGTCCCACGCCTGCTGAATTACTGGCAGGTCACAGCTGACAGCTCAAGCAATTATACTAGAATGTGTTAATAATAAAAAGGAAAAGGACTTCATGTTTGTCTTTTCAGAAGACAAAAGCAGATGTTTGCTCCACCCCGAGGAGCAGCAGAAAGGAGCTCTGGGGGCAGGTGACACTCGCAGCACCTGGCCATATCCTCTTTCCATGGCAGTCGTGCAAATCCATGTCCTCCTCTGTGGTTCCCCAAGCCCTGGGAGTTGCTGTGAACTTTTTTCTCTTGTTGAGAGCATGAAAATACAGTTAACAAAGACTCCTTTTGAGTGGGATTGCAGGAAACCTGCAACATCGTGAACAAGCTGCCTACACAGAGATAAATGACAGCTGTGACTGAAGGAATAAACAAGATAATCTGGATTTAAATAAACCACAAGAGGATTTTGGCAACATGCAAATTCACAAATTTATAAAATGTATCCTTTGGAAATAAAGAGCTTGTCTGAAACCAGCAGTTAAGAACAATTACTAGAGCACATTTTCCCAATGAGTGCTTAGAGGTGGCCTCTGCCCTAAGCTGGGGCGCACGGGGCCCAGGTGTCCTGCCTGCCCCCCACAGCAGCTGTGGCCCTTCCATGCACAGAGCTGAAACCTGAAGGAGTGATGGGAGCAAGTGCTCCTGTGGCTCAGGGGTGCCAGGGGTGTGCAGAGCAGCCTGGCCCCCATCAGCATCCAGGCACAGCACTGGGGAATTGAACAGGAAAGGAGAGAAACATCAAAAGCCCAAGAAAGCACCTAATGATACATATTGGATCATCTGCTTGGAGGACCAGGTAATTCCTGGGTCCAAGCCCAGAGTAGGAGTTTCATTTCAACATTGCACAGTGCAGTGATACTATACCAACAAGCACAGGGGGATGATGCCCATCCCATAAGGGAGCAGAGTTCTTGTTCATGCTGGTGGTAGTGAAGCTCCTGCCAGTGACTCGTTGTCATTACTCCCCTTTTTCAGGTGGGCAGCAATGGAAGCAGGAGAGGAGCAGGTGGGGAGAGATCAGTGCAGAGCCATGAGTAGACATGTCCCATTCTAGCACTTCATCTCCTGAGCTGCCCTGTGGAGGTGTGTCAGGTGTGGTCACAGCATGGCTCTGCCTCTTCACCAACCAGTGTGGCCTTAGAGGGGACAGAAATGCTGCAGGGAAAGCCAGAGTGTGTCCCAAAGAGTACATGTCCCCTCCAGGAGCAAAGCCCCGACCCCACTCTGTAAACTGCTCTGCAGCAGCCACCGCAGGGGAGTGATGCTCTGCCCCTGCACACCGAGCTGGTTAGCATTCCACTGGCACACACGCAATTAGGGCAGAGCACATGGCAGCAGCTCTGTGAAGGTTAACTGCTCTGAGAAGCATCCCTGCCGTGCCAGAGGCTTGGCTGCTCCAGCTTTAACACCCCTGTTATTCCCAGCAGCAGGAGCTGGTGGTGCCGTGTGCTGTTCTGTGTTTGGCAGCTGCAGGCTGTGTGCAGGGTGCCTGGCTCCAGGGCTGCAGGCTCGAGCCTCCCTCACCTGCACACTGTAGCTCAGTGCCTGCCCTGGCAGAACAGCCCCTGGGAAAGGACTCTGAAACGTGGCAGAGTTTGGGGAAAAGCCTTTCTGTGTATATGTCCCAGACCCACACTCGTTCCAGGCTGTGCAGGGCCAGGGTGTCTCAAGGATACACAGCAGCTCCCAGCTTTATCCTTAAAACTGTACAGCAAAAGCAGAATCTGCTTCTCCTCCTCTTTTCCTTGATCACTGCTTCCCTGCTGTCTCTCCTCAGCACCAGCCCATCCATCCATTTGTCTTTATTTTGCACAGAGTTAAACAGGGTCCTTTAATGTGGCAACACTTCCAGATTATTAGCTCTGCAATTTCTTTGCTCCTGTTTATTGTGATAACATCATCTGAAGGGGCTGTTGTAATTAATAGTTTGTTCGTGCCTCTTTTATAGACCCCTGGTGTGTTTGTTTTATATTTGAGCATCAGCCAGCACAACTTGCTTCCAGTGCACCGTCGGAAGTGTCCCCGCCACAGAGAAGAGGCTGAGAGTTTCAGGGCTTTTTACAACAGCTTATTGAAACCATAATTTAAAGTAAAAACTAAGTACATAAAATATTCAAGGCAAGACAATTGTTCTGCCATGACCCTGGAGCAGAGGGGACCAAAATCCTGGTTTCCCAAACTGTCTGTGAAGGGGTATTGCCAGGGCACTGCTCAGTGCAGCTCCAGGAGCATGGCAGGACATCCTGGCAGCCAGTGGTGCCTGTGCCCACCAGCCCCTGCCCCTGGCCAGGGTGCCAAGCTGAGCATGGTGCTGTTCAGCCCCGGGGAGGGGGAGCCCCACTCTGGCCTTCAGCTATGCTCTCCCATCCGTCAGCTGCTTTTGGAGATTAGCAGGAAGCACCTCTGCTCCTGTCCTCCTCGGGGCAAGTGCTGCTGTGCCTGTGCTCAGCCTCCCAGCCTCATTTTCTGTTCTCTTTCCTCACAGCACTCCCTCACACCAGCTTGTGCTTGGCCAAGGACACCCTGCAGTACAGCAGTGGGCACCCCAGGGCTCATTTCTGATCCTACCGTGGGACTCGCTGTGACGTGTGTAGCCATAAAAGCTGTTTCCTTCCCACAGGGCTGTTAAATCTGGGTGCTGGATGCCCCCAGGGAAGATGGTCTGTAATTCTGCAGCATCTGCAGTCCCCAGGTGCTCACATCCCTCTTTATTTGTTCAGGCTTTTCTTAAAGGAAAAAATACCTCGAGATGCATCATTCCAACTCATCTTTGTTCCCTGCATGTCACTGCTATTCAAGTGACTGATGCAAGGCAGGGACAAAGCACCAGAGTGCACTGGGCAGAAGACAGGACTGCAGAGTCCTTGCCATGCTGGGAAGGCAGCTCCAGCAGGGCCTGATGCCAGAGGGACAGGCTCCCTGGAGAGCCTGCCAACCAGCACAGTGGCCCTGAGACAGCAAGCTGCAGCCCTGCATCCCTGCTGACCCCACTGCTGGGTCTCAGAGGCTGTTCAACAGAAAGGTGCTGCAGCAGGAGAGAGACAGCACAGGGACTGCCAGACTCTTCTCCTGAAATGCTGAGGGCACCAGCAGCACTGTGGCAGCACCAAACCCACCCTCGTTCTTGCCTTGGCAGAACACTCCTCACCTTCCCCAGCAGCACCTCAGCAGAACGAGCCCAGAGGGACAGATGGCACCAGCAGTGAATGCACAAATTACGATGGGGAGGGTTACAGCCTGCTGATGCCTTTAGCAGTCACAAATACGAGGTGACACTGACAAGCACATCTAGCCAGGCCATGCCTGACAGCTGCTTCTGCTCCAGGCTTCAGCCTTGTGGTTCCTGAAATGGCTGTTCCTGGGGCCCTGCGGTTTGACGTCAGCATCACCGCGGTTGCTGCTGCCCAAGGTGCTGTCACAGAGCCATTTCCAGCCTATTCACATTGTTTCCTCACCATATGTTTGTACTAAAAATAGTTGCAATACAAAGGGATAATCCTACAAGACCCTGGACATTGCCATCCTCCATGAATGCCACAGGAGACCTGTCCACTGCCGCAAGCACTTCTGGAGCAGTGACCCTGCTCCTCCTCCTTGGCACCACAGCAGGACTGGGGCTGCCCACGGCCTGGGCCACAGTGTGGATGGGCACAGGCAGCAGGCAGGTGCCTGGCTGCTGGCAGAGCCTCCAGCCCCCCCAGCACCCTGTGGCACGGAAGGTGTGAATGAGGAAGCTGTGATGCTCTTGCAGGAGACATCACTTAATACCCTCTGGCTCTCTATGATAATCCTTAACTGGTGGCACTGGGACAAGCATTTACCTCTTCATTTTCTTAGATATAACTGCTATCTCGCTGCAGTTTCATTTCACAACATGGTAATATGCTATCCAGGAAAATCTTACTACATGCTAATTTATCCAGTAGGCAAATTCCTTTTGGCTAATAAAAGTGCTTGCACGGGAAGCTCAAAACCCAGCAGCAATTAATTATTGACAGAGCATGTGTATTAGAGATAAAAGAAGTCATTCTTTCTCACACACAAGATAGTAAATAAATTTAATTATTGTACTAGAAGCAAGGGATCTTATTCTGTATTAAGTTTTATTAGCTGAGACATTTAAAAGCATGTCATCATAACAAAAAGGTCCTGTGTAATCCGAACTGCGCCGCTTCGTACACGGCTCTGGAGTGAATAGGCTTAATTGAGCAAATGGGAGCAGATGGCTCCTGAACAGGCAGGTATTGTGCAGGTTTAGCGTCAATTAGCTTTGGTCTACATATGCCTATGGCAAATTGCCTGTATAATGTGTCACCAAGGCTGACTTAACATTTCGGGTGCCCACCATGGCCACGGGCCAAGAAGAAACAAAGCCAAAAGTGCTTGGGTCTGGGGAACTCACAGGAGTGGCAGCGTCCCCTGCCACGAGTGTCCCTCCAACACCTGCACAGGGCAGGAGGGACAGCGAGTGCCCGCAGCTGCCTGGGCCTTTGCTAACCACCTCCTCTGCTTCTGCGCAGGAACGTGATGCCCAAGACCCTGGATGGCCAGATCACCATGGAGAAGACCCCCAGCTACTTCGTGACCAATGAGGCCCCCAGGCGCATCCACTCCATGGCCAAGGACACGAAGCTGATAGTGGTGGTGCGGAACCCGGTGACCCGTGCCATCTCGGACTACACACAGACGCTCTCCAAGAAGCCGGAGATCCCCACCTTCGAGGTGCTGGCCTTCAAGAACCGGACTCTGGGGCTGATTGATGCTTCCTGGAGCGCGATCCGCATTGGGATTTATGCCCTGCACTTGGAGAACTGGCTCCAGTACTTTCCCCTCTCCCAGATCCTGTTTGTCAGTGGTGAAAGGCTCATCACTGACCCAGCTGGGGAAATGGCCAAGGTCCAGGACTTCTTAGGCCTCAAGAGGATTGTGACAGAGAAGCATTTTTATTTTAATAAAACCAAGGGGTTTCCCTGTCTAAAGAAGCCAGAGGACAGCAGTGCTCCCCGGTGCTTGGGCAAGTCCAAGGGTCGAACTCACCCCAGAATAGACCCAGATGTCATCCACAGACTGCGAAAATTTTACAAACCCTTCAATGTCATGTTTTACCAAATGACAGGCCAAGATTTCCAGTGGGAGCAGGAAGAAAGTGATAAGTAGAACCATGAAATCAGGAAAAAAACTTCTCTTTTTTTTGGAGATGTGAATCATCATTTGAGACCCAAAACTCACTTGAGGTCAGAGGCTCAGCCACGTGCACACCAGGCTCTTGCGCTATCTGGGCTGCAGCTGAAGCCACCCTGTGTGTCCTGTTCTGAAACTCTGGTGGTCTCTCACCTTGGGCTGTATTCAGACTCTCCCCACCGTGACACTAGGGCTCAGGGGCTGGCGGGAGGAGGAGGAGGCAGAGGGAGCAGGGCTCCTTGGGGTGGTGGGATGCTTCATGTCGCCATTTCGCTGCTGGTGTTCCCCTTGCAGCCAGGCAGGCAGGACAAAACCTCCTGCCAAGGTGAGCTGAGCAGGAGGGCAGCTCCCAAAACGTATCACTGGGACAAACCCATAGATTTGATTTCTCCTGCCCTGGCTTTTAGTTTTGCCCAAACAGCAGCATCAGGTCTGGTAAATTCCATGTGCACACACATGCACACTGGTCTTTGTGTGTGGAAGGAATAAAGCCAGTTATGCTGCAAAGGAACTATGTACAGGAACTTCATTTGCACCAGATGTTTCAATTACTTGTTGCACTAAAACTAGAATTTACCAAGTGCCACAAACACCCAGGTCCGACTCTCATCTGACTGAAGGTGCACCTCCGGTGTTGGAAGAGAGTTGTTCCTGCTTTGCTGGGATGCTCGGTGGGATCAGAACCAGGGTCCCCCAGGCCCCCACTCCCCTGGAAGCTGCAAGAATGTTCCCAGGCTTGCCAGGGTGTCGCTGGGCTCCCACCGCCCAGCCAGGCCGCAGAGGCACAGTGAGGAACACACGTCTGCGCAGCGCGTCCCGGCCAGGCCGTGCTGTGCCTGCGCCAGGGCTGGGAGCCAGGTGTTCCCGTGGGAGCCGAGAGTGTGGGGTGGAGGTATGGGGACAGCCCCAGCACAGGGTCTGACTGTCAGGGTCCCTGGCGCTGCCCTTCATTTGCACCTTGAGAATGCAATCCCTGCTGCGCGCTGTGGACAGCTGGGGCTGCAGCACAGGAAAGCAGCCTTCATCCTACTTCAGAATTACAGAAGAGAATTCGTTCCCAGGGTGAGCACTGCTCAGCGCACAAACCTGTGCTTTCCGCTGCAAATGGCCAACACAACCACATTTGAAAATCCTGGTAGAAAGTGTAGAATAAACTTGTATCCCAACTGGATCCTCCAGCGTGATGAAAGCCGCGTGTTTGGCCCAGCGGAGAGCTGGAGCAGTGCTTTGACACAGCAGTACAGTTCCACCTCCATTGCTGAGGGAAACCAGCAGAGAGGGAACAAAGGGAAAACACAGAGCTGCTGAAATGGTCCCTCACATGGTGATTTCTGAGGGCACTCAGATACTGCTGGCTGCTCTCTGTGCTCTGATGAGGGCTAAGGATGCCTCCTGGGTGGGGTGTAGCAACGTGTGAGCCCTGGCCCTGGCAGAGATGCAGAGTGGGATCACTGCGGGGGAACCAGGACTCAGTTCTGATTAAGGTGGAAGAATTCCCTACAGCTCCACCTAACCAGATGAAATCACTGCTGCATTGGGTGACAAGCTGAACCTGCTCAGGGCTCCAGGCCTGTTGCGTGGTTCGTTATGCCGTGAAGTGGTGCTGGTGCCTTGGATTGGATGAGAAGAGCTGAAGCCATTTGGACAATTTACCGTGTGGGCCATGCTGGAGGGGCACCCTGAGGTCCCTGCTGACGTCATGTCAGTTCCATCAGCCTGCTCAGATTTAGAAACAGCTTCTGACATGGCACAGATTTCACAGACCCATAAACTCCCAAATTATTACAGGAAAATTGGAAGTATGTAACGGAAATAATTTTATGGTGTTGCACACATTATTAAAATGTCAGAACAGGTCCTAAAGGAAACCCTTTGTTGCATAATTGGGATTTGGTGCAAGATGCTCAATGGAGGATGAGGGGCTGCAGGTGCAGTGTGCCCCTCACCAGAGGGATATCCAGGAGTCTCTGCCTGTCCTGTGTGGTGTCTGGTGGTGCTGAGCAGAGCTGGCCAGTGGAGGTGGTGGGGCTGCCTGCAAGAGGGGCTCAGTCCTGAGGGATGATCGGCTGGGTTGGTGCTGTACCTGCTGTGCCCCTCCCACCTGCCCCCACACTCCTTTCTGCCATATATTCAGAGGTTTATTTTTTATACCAGATGTCATCTCCAGCTTGGTAGGAGCCGATGGGTGCCCGGTGGGAGGGGAAACCCCACTCCTCAGCCCTGAGCAGCTGCCCCGTGGACACTGACCACCTCAACATAGTGGGATGGGACCCCCTGATCCTCTCCCCAAAAGCAGCTCTGGTGCTGCCAGCCCCTCTGCAGTGCTGGGAGGGAGCAGGGGCACACCAGGCACCTTAGGGTGTGCTGGGAGCATGGGGGCTTAGCCTGAAATGCACCTCGTGGCTGTCAGGGCTGGACAGGGGAATTATTTTCTCTCTGGCTGGAGAGTGGCCTGCCAAATGAGAGTCAGGTTAATAACACTTTTTTTTTTAAATTATTCAAATGTCAGCATTAGAATACACAGGAAATTGAGTTTTGTATTTGATTTCAATTAGCAAAGCATAAATTATATTTAATTTTATACACAGGCTGGGTGATTCATTGTTCTGGAAAAGCTGGTACTTTCCGGTTCAGAGACTGGAAATGGAGAGTTGGTCTGTTCTGAACCCAATCTGCAGCACTGTCACCTCCTCCCAAACACGTCTCTGTCCATCGGTGTCTGTACCTGAACAACGTCACCATCCCGAACTGACCCCTGGAACCCACAGCACTACACAATAAATCATTGTAGCAGCTGCATTTCTTGGCTCCATTTCTCTTCACCCTCCCCAGTAGTAGCCACAATGAGGCAGTGCTGGCCATGACCCACCACCCCCCAGCCCAGTTGGCTGTCCCTACCTGCCCCGTGGGTCACAGCCCCACAGCTGCCAAAGGGGCCAGGGGAAGATGCATGCTAAAGCCAGGACCAGGACCAGGACTACCTGGGGCACCACGTGGCCTGCAGGTCCTGGCCATAGAGGAGTTTCCAATCGCTGGGCAGCATCCCCAGAGATGCCTGGCAAGGGATCAGGTCAAGCACCCATGGAGAGCACACACAGGGCTCAGCCACCACCCCCAGACCCAGGGCTGGCTCAGCTGGGGACAGTCCCTGCAGAGGGGTACAGCAGGTTTCTCCCTGTGGTGAGGGACAACAGGTTTCTCCCTGTGGTGGGGGACAGCTTTCCTCACTGACCTCACAACTTGGAGTACAGCTTCCAAGGTCACAAAGGACAAATCCCCAAGCAATGCTCATGGTTTCACTTGCTGCTGATTGAGGGTAAATCAGAGGATAATAAAGGAGAGGGCTGGCTGCCAGGCAAAGAAATTAGGAGGAAATTTTTTTTATCTTATTTTGTGTGCACAATTTCCTGCTCGTTTGAAAAAGGTTATTTCACAGCACAGCCCTATTGTGTCATCTGATAAAAACCACAGAAAAACTTTTATCAACAAAATTAGGAAGTAGTGAACTATAAAATTGCTAATTATTTTCTAGTAAATTTACTTTTAAATAACTTTAGACACCAATTACAGGCACCATTAAGCACCATTAACACTGGGTATATTTACCAAACAAGGATGGAATACTTATTCAAATCAAGATCATTTTGGTGTAGATTTTGCTGTTTGGAAAGCAGCCCCCTCTCACCAGATGTTTAAAAAGCCATCAGATCACTTACACCTCAGGCTCCTAATCTTTGAGTTGTAGTGTGTTATAATTCAACCCTTGAAGGAACCATCTGTGACCAGAAACTAGAGTCCAGAGGAGATGCCCTGGCAACACTTGTACATCTCTCCTGCAAGCCCCGAGAAAGCACATCCCATATCAGCTGATCCAGGTGTCTCTTGTGATGCCTCTGTCCCTGCTCCAAGAAGGGTTCACCCCCCGTCACAGGCCAGCGAGTGCAGCTCCTGCAGCAGCCACTGCCCTGTCTCTCCAGCTCTGTAGCCAGCCACCTCCCACTGCCTCCCGGGATCTGTCCCCCGAAGGCTCACATGGCTCTGCAAACCGTTCAGCTGCTCTCCATGCCCCCGGGAGCGTGGCCAGTGTGGTGCCCCTGGTGCCGGTGCTGGGACGCTGTGTGCCTTGTAATTGGAGGTTGCCAAGCGGCTGTCAGGGAGCTGGCTGCAAAGCTGCTACCTGCTCCCACTTTCCTGCTGTCATCTTTGACATCCTCATTATTTATTAACTGCCCTGTACCCAACAGGCTGCCACCGATGCGGAGATGCTCTGATTATGCAGGTTCGATATTCCGCCTGCCTCCAAGGTCACGTCCTCCAGGATGTCTTGCAAACCAGATTGAAGAGGTACCGGCAAAGATGCAACATGTTCTGTATCTGCTGATGCCAGGTTTCAAACAGAGCCCTTTAATAAGGATCACTTGCTACATAGCATCACAGAATCATGGAATTGTTTAGGTTGGAAAAAGCCTCTAAGACTATTGAGTCCAACCATTCCCCAGCACTGCCAGGGCCACCACTAACCATGTCCCCAAGTGCCACATCTACGCGGCTTTTAAATCCCTCCAGGGATGGCAACTCCATCACTGTGCTGGACAGCCTGTGCCAGGGCTGGAAAACCCTTTCTGTGGGGAAATATTTTTCTAATATCCAGTCTAAACTGGGCCTGATCCCCTGGTTGTCTTGTACGTGCTGTGTGATGGCACTCAAGATAATCTGCTCCATCAGCATCCCTGGCACAAGGGTCAGACTGACAGACCTGTAAGTCCCTGTAGGAATCCTGTGCCCTTCAGGATTGCCTCCCAAGGGACTGTGTCAGCCAGGCTGCTCAATAGGTCAATCTGCCCTCTGGCCATCCAAAAGGCAGTTCTGCTGACCCCTCGTTACTCCTCTGAGAAGCCAAACGCTATCAGTTTGGGTTTGCTGTGCCCTAGACAGCCTCTGGCCAGATAAGGGTGTCAGACCCTGCTGCTCCTGTT